CAAAATAGTACGTTAAATCGGAGTGTACGGGAAATAGGGGTACGATAAATCGAGGTTTTACTGTACAGTACAGGGCATATTATTATATATTTTATAGAATGTGAGGTGTACCAGGAATCTTGAACTGATCTATCTCCATCTTGAGCTTATCACTGTCATCTTCTGGCTGTTTCTCAAGTGTTCCAATGTACAAGTTATCCATTGTTCCCAGTGTAGGCTGACCATACTCGTCTACTGTGAACTCTTCTCCTGAGGTGTGATAATGTATCAGCTATTGATTGAACATTTATCAGAGGGGTTGAAGTAAGTAAGGATATCATGGAAGTGTTGATCTTTGTAATTGTCGCTAATGATAATCAAGTAAATCTTTCGGGAATTTTTCTAGAGTTATTTTAGGAATTTTCATGAAATTTAGTGATCTAGGGATCGGCCAACTGTAGACAGCCTAAGATTAGGGCTGCTTTCTAGTGCTTCAGCTGATACTGCTATCATTTCCTAACAATAGGAATTCCTGCAGTTTATCACGTATCAATAGGTTCGTTAAAACCTGTTTAATGACGTCATTTTTCTTTGGACGTGATGCTATCAGTGCGTAACGTTATCTATTATTTAATACGTAGTGCTGTCTCGTACTTCATGTTTTTGATTAAACTTGATGCACTGGTGGTCTCTAGATACGGTTTAATGATGATTGGCTCGATGTTTGTCCATGGTAAACTGATTAAACACTTAACAGACTTTCTTCAGACAAAAGATTTCCCAAACTTCGTGTCATGCGTTTCGGTACAGAAAAAAGCATAACACCTCGACATTGACTGTAAACGAAGTGGTATCTTAAAAGTAATTTTCTAGAAATACACGATATTCCAGTCTCCCCTCTAATCGTGTCAAATACTTGACTCATAAAATATTATCCAGAATATTTATGCAGTGATATAATAAATATCTCACATTCTACATATCCCATATCTCCTTGCAGCTCACCGCCCGCGCCCTATATAATGACACCACCTAAAAACCCTGATTTTCCAAACACATTAGTAATTACACACAAAAACTTCGTGTAACCCAACTCATACCCCCAAAAACACAACCCCAGACGCTACTTTTAACCTAGTCGCCCGTAACCTGCAACCTTACCAACCTCCCTCTCCCTCCAAGATGACTTAACCTTCCCCCAGACGTACATCAGGGTAGAATCCAGGGTGAAATGTTTACTTTTTGGAAAGGTATAACAGCCGAGCTTGTCATCGCCCTGTTAAAAGCCTGTCGTCAGAACGTGCCACGTGATCTGTTGTGTATTGGGAGTGACTAAAGTGACTTCAGAAGTTAGGGTAAACTGTCTCGCTTGCTGTTACTTACAGGGTTTTCAGGTTCAAATTTCACCTACATTTCACTCACAATTCTCATAGCTTGACTATTAAAACTCCCTTGTAGTCAATTTGAAGTCTAGCTAGGTGCCTTTTTTTAACGGTCAATAATAAGGTATAAGTTTACAAGTCAGTATTCTGGCTTACCAACCAGTATTCTGTTCTACATGGAGTAATCAGACAATATAATAGAAATCGTGTAAATCTATAAATCATGTAAAGGTGGTGTCTGGTGTTTTGTCATTAGTTAGGGTTGATCATGTGAGGGAGGGAAAGATGGCGATTCAATTAATTGGTACCGAATCAATAATAATTGTGTAATAATTGTGAGTGTAGATGTTTATTATTCACTCATCATCGAATGAACGTGACTCATTATCGTCTGCGTAATCTAGGGTTAATTAACAAATCTCTGTAGCTCACATCAGCCTAGCACTATAACTTGTTACTGTAGTTCATGGTGTGACTAAAAGAGGTAAGCGGCATCTAAGGTTTGCGTATGTTGACAATAATAGTAGTAAACATTCGCCGTTTCTTTGGAAATCTCTACTCTTAGTGATTTTTCGCCGCCAAGTAGATAAATTCTGTAAACAATGTCTGTTCAGTCAAAGTCCTGATAAGATTTCTCCGGAAAATTGTTTCCCCAGAAAATAAATTTTCCCCAGAAAATATTTCCTAAACTTTTGAAGAAAACTAACCTGGTGAAGAAAACTAACCTGGTGTAACCATCATAACTCTGAGAGGCTGTGAGGCAGATATCATAGCAGAGCTCCTTCTTTTTAAGGAGTCAGGCAGCGTGCTGGGAGTGTCATAAAAATCCTTAGCAACATCCTTACGATCTCCTGATACGGGGGAGTTGATTTCCAGGTCCTTTAGCGTCTTCGCTAACCTGAAATAAAAGGGATATTAGGTTTAACTTCGCTAACCTGAAATAAAGGGGATATTAGGTTTAACAGTCATTTTTCTCAATGAGTTGTGCGAGATGACGATAGAATAGCCGGAGAATGATGACTACTACCAGATCCCGGTGGAACTAATTTGATAGCACGACAGGCCCTAGGTTTAACTGTTTTAAATCTTGTACGAGTACGAATATTGTACGAGTGCAAATATTATACGTGTTTCGGCAGATAATAGGAGGGTTGATTTTGCGATAATATACTAGGATATTAGGTTATCAGTGTAAACACAGCTACTCCCACATTCCCCAACTTAGATACACTGGACCGCAGGATATTGGCTACCAGTTAATTAATAGCAATCCATCAACATGACTTTGGTATAATTCGATATAAATGTAAAGGAACCAGGAGTTTCTTTGACAAAGAAGGTTACAATTTGCCGAATTAATAAATCAGCCTGACTCCTTTCAATCACCATGATATTCCTGTTTTAATTATGAATGAATAACGTCGTTTCATACGTCATGCCCTGTCAAATATGCGCATGATATGACTTATTGTTGATAAGTGCCATACTGTAGACCTTGACGTGGTTCACACTTTTTGTGTGCAATTATCCAAAAAATGCAGACCAGTCGCCCAAACACATAGATCATCGCAGTGACGGTAAGTTAGAGAATTACAGCTGTACCACAAAACTACGCCCTGGCCCTGTTGTACTGCTTTCAGTGTAGTCTCACACACACTGATATATTTTAATATATTGTATTAGTATACCTCACAACTGCACACGTTCTACTACTGGACCCTAGCTGGTAGTGGTAACTGCGAGGTTTAATTGAGCTCTAATGGACTAATGTCGCGCTTATATCTGCAGGATCTACTAGTACATTTCTGAGCTACATCTTCATTGTACATTGTACAATGCTCTAGTGTACAATGATAATGTTACACAGATAACACTGACATTGTTTGTGTGTTACAATAGATTCCGGATCTAGTTAAGTGAAATTAAGCTCGTGGCAGGTTCGAGATGCTTGGAAGTTCCTTGTATGGGCTATGTTTGGAGAAGAAAGGATTCGCGTGCTCAAAAATATGGTTTGTCAGCTAGGAACAGTTCGATATATTATGCAGGGACTGGAAGACCCACAATTTCTCAAAATGTCGACGCTATCCAAAAAATGTGCTCTTTATTTTCATGATAACAATTAATAATATAACCACGTCAAATTTGTTATTAGCGGTCCACAACGTTACCTTAGCGAAAAAGAATATCAGCCAACCAGCCGTTATCAATATACTGTATAAATTAAGTGTATATTATACATGATGCACATACCATCATTCTATAAAAACCAATTATTGATAAATTATCACAATTATCACAATTCCAACTATACTCACCCTTTAACAAGAGTAGGAGATTCAGCCCGTTTATCCACAGCCCTCCTATCATACAGTGGTCTCATGTGTAACCATGTCAAGTCCGCATCTAGCAGCTGATCTACAGAACTCAGCTGTTTTACTTCTCCTGTCAGGATCTCGTGTGGCTCCTTCTTGCGCACCGAGGGTGGTGTTGGGTCTACCACCATCCTACTTTATAGTTTAGTAAGTGTCTACCACTATAACTATCCTACTTTATAGTTAAGTAAGTGTCTACCACTATAACTATCCTACTTTATAGTTTAGTAAGTGTCTACCACTATAACTAATAACTATCCTACTTTATAGTTTAGTAAGTGTCTACCACTATAACTATCTTACTTTATAGTTTAGTAAGTGTCTACCACTGCACTATAACTATCCTACTTTATAGTTTAGTAAGTGTCTACCACTATAACTATCTTACTTTATAGTTTAGTAAGTGTCTACCACTATAACTATCCTACTTTATAGTTTAGTAAGTGTCTACCACGATAACTATCCTACTTTATAGTTTAGTAAGTGTCTACCACTATAACTATCCTACTTTATAGTTTAGTAAGTGTCTACCACTATAACTAATAACTATCATACTTTATAGTTTAGTGAGTGTATACTACTATAACTATAACACTATATTATATACACTATATAAGTCTATAACTATCATACTTTATACTTTTACAGAAATATAGTTTGGGTCAGATCTACATTGTAAATTGTACATTGTACAACCATCCTACTTTATGGTTAAATATTTAGTTATCATCAGTGATTATGACAAACAACATGTAGTTATCAACGCGTTTAAAGTTTCATTATAACAAAACGAAGGGCTGAAAAAATAACTAAAATGCATTAGTTTTTATCCAGCTAAAGTCGATGTTGTGAGATTATTGTATCCTGCAAAGTAACAATACAAAGGAACTACCTTACTCGGGAATATTATAACCGGGATAAAGTGGTGGGTTTTGGAAGATTCCGCCATATTTTTCCCGGTCAAAAATTTTACCAGTCATAAAAAAACCCGCCGACTCAGATTATGGGGTTCCAAGGGGGTGGTGATCATCATATTTTACCTGAAGTCTCATATGTGCTAGAGAAGACTTTTGAAGCAGTAGATGGAGGGCTGTAACTTTATTGGCGGTTGCTACCATAATTTCGTTATAAAATCACAATTGGGGGGGGGGGGGAGGGCAACCATATTAAAGTATATTAAAATGTAGGTTTTTTTCCAACTTTGACCCGGGGATATATTTTAATATACTTTATATACTTTGACATCCTTTCTGGTTTATCACGCAATATGGGTATGTATGGAGTCGGTCAACGTAACAGCAATGGCCAACGTTTGCTTGATTTTATGATTGAGAAGGATTTTTATGCCTGTAACACAAGCTTCAAACATTCAGCTCGTCACATTACATCATGGCACGGTACTACTACAGCCCGAGGTGACCCTGACAAGACCGTGAAATACTACAAGCAGATTGACTACATCCTTTGTAAATCTAGCTACAAAGTGAATATCACGGACGCTCGTTCATACGGAGGAGCCCTACTCAAATCAGATCACAAGCCTGTAGTCGCTCGCGTCACACTCCACCAGAAGTACCTTGTCCATAAGAAGCACAAGACGTCCAGAAAGCTTGACCTCAAGAGACTACAAGATCATGGAGTTAAGAAGAAGATGCTGAGTACGTTTGAGAAGAAAGTAAGAATGAGACCCAAGACAGGCAACCCCAACGATGACCTCAACAACCTGATAACAGATGCCTATAACACTGCTGACGAGGTGCTAGGAACTATACCTCCAAAAAAACACAAATCCTTCAGTACTGATCCTGAGATCGCTGAACTGTCACTTGAACGCAAGCAGCTGGTGATTGCGAATATGCAGAACAAATTCCCGACCAACAGGAAGCATGTCAAGACCAACATCAACCAGCTAAGACGTAAGATCACAAAGAGACTCAGAGATATCAACAACCGCAGTGCTGACACACTCGTCGAAGAGATAAACAACACAGACGACGCCCGGAGATACTTTGGAGCCTCTAAGATACTCGCCAAAGGATATGTTAGACCAGCTCTAACCGTCCACAAATCTGCTGGGAATATCGCAGGTACTAATGAGGAGAAAGCGAGGATTATTAAGGAGTACTTTGAAGCTGAGTTCAACGACGCCGATGAGCCTACCCTTCCTGCCTTCCTTGACCCCCCATCTAGCCTTAACAGTCCCATCACCGTTGCAGAGATAGAGAGAGCCATCAGTAAACTCAAGTCTGGTAAAGCAGTGGGTATTGATAAAGTTCCTGGCGAGGTCATGAAAGCCCTGAACAACCCCCTCCTTCATGAAGTACGTGTACTTGTACTTGATTAGGTCTCCTCAATCATTCGAGTGGCCTGCACCAATGAACTCCCGTTTGTGACGTATCATCTCCCTCCAAAGTTTTCGGTCACTAGCCATCTCGCTCGCTCCTTCTAGGTCTATGTCAGTGTTTCCTGTAAACGCTGCAGCATCTTCCAGCAAACATTTCATCCAGTTCTTTCTTGGACGGCCCCTAGATCTTCTCCCATGCGCAGGGGTCCAGTTAAGCAGGTACTTAGGAAGCCTAGTGTCTGGCATTCTGGTGACATGGCCAAACCAACGCAGGCGGTTTGCTCCTATGAACGTCTCCTACTGGATTTATCTTTGCACGCTCCAGCACTTCAGTGTTTCTAACCCGATCGAGCCATCTTATCCTAAGTATTCTCCTCAAGCAACGCTGATGGAACACCTCAAAGCGATGTAGCTGCTTTTTGGTTGTGTTCCAAACCTCACTACCATATAACAATATTGTCAAAACTGCTGCCTTATAAATCCTGATCTTTGTATAAGACTGGATGTTGCGGTTTTTCCATATATTACTCAGTTGATTGAAGGCTCCGGAAGCTTTCTGAATCCTAGCTGACAGCTCACGGTCGATAGTACCGTCGCTGGAAATAATTGTACCTAAGTACGTAAAGTCACTAACTTGCTGCACTGGCGTGTCTTCAACAGTGATGTTCACTGTGGCTTCTTTCGTGTATGGCCGTTGAGAGGTTGCTTTACCAATGACCATAGCCTCAGTCTTTTTACCATTGATTCTGAGACCTCCCTGGGCACCATACATACACAAAAGGTCAGTTGTTTCTTGAAGACCTTCCTCGCTGTTATCCAGTACAGCCATGTCATCTGCATAGTCTGTATCTAACACAGTGATATCATCAACAAGCGGACTGATAGATCTTTGAAGAACCGCTCCGTGGGACACCACTTTGTTGCTTTCTGTTCTCTCAGCAGCCACATTGAGGCAGACATTAAAAAGTGGGGGACCCTGAATGTCTCCTTGGCCACTGCCTGAACTTACTTCAAAACCATTCTGATAGTTCACCATTGTGTCTAACAGCACTGACAGTTCCATTAAAGAATGCCTGTATTATTCGAATGTATTTACATGGCAGGCCATAATGACTGAAAGCTTTCCAAATATAATTTCCACTTCCTTCATGAAGAGCTAGCTAAAGTGTTCAACGAGTCTTTCGAGAAAAACATTCACATTGAAGCAATAGGATCAGGCATCCTCACACCACTGGCTAAGCCTGGTAAAACTCGTGGCCCAGTTAAGTCGATACGACCATTGACCCTGCTGAATGTTTCTAGAAAGATCCTGTCACTGATAGTGCTAAACAGAATAGAGACAGCTGTGGACGTTCCAAGCTGCCTACAAAGCTGGCAGGAGCTGTGCCGACCTAGTTTGGGCACAGAGCATGCTCATATCTGTAGTAATGAAGAAGGAGTTTGAATGGAACAAAGTGAGTATCGACATGTCAGCTGCCTTCAATACCATCCGCAGAGGTACAACAATCAGACTACTAGAAGCTGCAGGATGCTCCAGAGACGACCTGAGGCTTGTACAATACCTCATGGCTAACAACACTCTAGTAGTCAGAGTGTGTTCTACTGACTAAGAGATGTTCTCTTTCAACATAGGAGCCTCCCAAGGAGACAGCACAGCTGGTAAATTGTTTACCCTCAATCTAGCTGGAGCTGTAGTGCACATAAGAGCAGTCCTCCCCTCAAGACCCAACCCTCCGATAGCCGATAACCACATGCCTCTTGAGTCCGGCTATTCAGACGATGTAGAGGAGATTGGTGAAGATATGGAGGAGTTACAGGATATCTTTCAGATCTCCAAGAATATTCTCAGTGAATGGAGTCTCTTTGTCAATGACACAAAACAAAGTTTACCAGAGTGTATTTAGAAGAAGTTGGTGCCTGTGACGAGTGGGGTAATGAACTAAGAGGAAAAGAGGAGTGGAGAAACGAGACGCTTCTTGGTACTAAGCTTGGATCAGAGCAGGATGTTACTAATAGAATAATAAAGCTAACTCTGCCTTCTGGTCATTTGACAAGCTGTGGTGCCAGGGATCAGAGAGGAGTCAGATAACTGAGAAGAGAAAGATCAAACTCTACGACTCACTAGTAGTATCAGTGCTCCTGTACAACTGCTGCTGCTGGGCCGTACCTCAGCATGTTCTAGAGGTCTGTAGATGTTGTTCAGAGGAAGCACCTCAAGCGCATCCTACACATCTATTGGCCTAGCTCAATATCTAACAAGGCCCTCTACGCTCGTACCAGACCAGGCCCCCTTTCGAGAGAGTGGAAAAGGCTCGGTGGACAATGCTAGGTCATGTTCTACGCAGTGACAACGACACGCCTGCCTACCAGTCTCTGATATTTGCTACACTAGGTGGTCAAACACTAAAGGGACAAGTGGGGTAGACACAGGACTAATTTGTATGATATTATTGTGAAAAAAGGACCTATTTAAGAGACAAATTTATTTGAAAAATGAAGATGATTTTACCAACTTAGTGAAACTTAGCAAGAGATAGAGTAGGATGAGGGAGTTTATTTACTTTGAGACATATTGAACGAATGAGTCTTCGTAAGCGTAAATAGGCCAGCACTTTTGCTGAGCTCTTTAGGTGCTCTTTTGTTTATGGATGTTATTATATATATATATATAATTATTAATATACTTTAATATACTTTAATATACTTTTTCCCGTTTAAGTAACTTGTGGCCACATCCGCTAGAAGTGAGGTAAACTGTGCCACTATTTCATGGTCCACGGTGGATGATTACTGGAGGCAGTTGAAGATGCAAAGCCAAGACGTTCCCCAATACCAAGCGGTGGGCAGGAAATTAATTAGCTCCGGCTGACCCTTCAGAGCAGTAGCCCCATTAGCGGACAAAATGAAAGTCTTGTTAAGACAACCAATACAACTTCGAATTTAGCAAAAATAACTTCTTTAACAAATAAAAAAACAGACAAATTCGGTTGAAAATTTGTTGACCTCTGAAAAAAAACTTGAAAGGTCCGGCCACCGGTAATACATGACCGGGATAATTTGGCGGGTTTTGGGAAAGTCCGCCTTATTTTTCCCGGTCATTAATTTTCCCCAGTCATAAATTAACCCGCTATAATATTCCCGAGTAAGGTAAGTAGGCTATCCGGACAAAGAAATGCCCCCCCGCCTTTTCCCGAAATGACTTTATGAATAAAATATAATCTATAATGCTATAGTGAAAGTACCAACAGTCAACACGGACAGTCGGATAAAGTACTTATCTAAGTTCGAGACAATATTGGCAGTAGCTCACATGGTTTTCTCTCATTAAAACCATCAACCCAGGAAGTTCTCAAGTCTCAACTACTTACAGTGGTGATGGCAGTAATTAGATGGGAGGAATTTAATGGCAGTACAGGCTGCGTGACGAAACAAAATTAATCGACTGAATTTACTGAAGAATTTAATGATGGAAAGAACTATCTAACAAATAACATCTACAAACAAACGCATCTGGCTTGAGGAAGTTGTGTTCGAATCAGTGTTGCCACTCCTGAAGCAACGATCTGTAGCCAAATAAACTTCTAATTCAATATCTCGTTTACTTGTGCTAAAATAGTAAGATAGGAAATGATTACGTTGCAACCCACCAAATATAACGTGCCACACGTATTATATATACTTTTATGTTAATATGATGCGACAATTGATTGGCAACCTTTCTGATTAGAAAATATCCTTGATCTAGACGACATGATTAGTGAATATAGATATAAATGCATCTGTAATTAATTTTGAAGTAAGATTATTAACGTTAAGGCTGTTTCGAGGTCTATTATACAAACTATACTGTATAAGAAGATTAAACAAAAAGCATAGAAAAACCTTGGCCGAGATAAATAACGAACACGGTATAGCACTCCCAAATCAACTCGCAAACACGAATTAGAAGACTTCATTGAATAGTGTGAGCGCTTAAAGTTAATAAACTGAGTAACACCGACGTAAGAAAAACATGTAGAGAAACTGATAAACGTAGAGAAAACAGGTAAGAACCACAAGATGTACAGTCACAAACCTAGCAATACCCTTTTAACACCCAACCCTACTTTATCTTGTCTGCCAATTTAACAAGTCAGCAACCACCAGGAATAACGGGAATAATATGTATTTTATGTTCTCTAACATGCGGGAATATATTACATAAGCGGGTTGTGCCTTTATTGCACTAGTGGAATGTTTGGTATATCTGAACTCTTCTTCAAGAAATGAGACGCAGAAAATATAATGTTATATAATAATGTATAAGTGCACTAAATACTCAAAAAAGATTTATTTTATAGTGCGACAAAATAAAAAAAACTCGATATTTTACACCCTTACTCTCACATTACACGGATTAAAGAAAAGCGGACTATATAAACGAATAACTGCAGAGTAATACAAGAAGACGAAAGAGCACCGATGGGAATTGTTCAATTATATTCAAACGCTGAAGCCCAGAAGTGTTGAAGTAACCTAAAAATACTGGAATGTAAGGAGCGAGCGAGATGTGCCGTGTGTGTGTGTGTTTGTGTGGGTTGGATGTCCAATACCAAATCAAGATCACATAGATCAATGTCAATTATAATCTAATGAGCTATTACTGGAAAGTAAATCGAGGCGTATAAATACAGGCGGTTGAAGTCAATCGAAGTTTAAAATCATCAAGATATTTACCACGTTAGAATTTTTTTAGGAGTATCAGTTGAACCTACGATACTAGTTATTTCCAGCGGTACGAGGGTTTGCAGTATAATGATACCAATAAATAAACTGTACAGACACGCACCACTTTAGCTATGAAAACCGACAGCAATTCTGTAAACACTATTATAAATGTCCATTTAGCGCTACAATAGGAGATGCTCCGAGCGCTCACAGACGGCCCTGATCAAATGAGTACTCGGTGGTACCACGTATGTGCCCTCGACAACTGAGAACACGTTACTCATCAGACCTACGTTTTCTTCTCGGCAAATCAAAAATAGTGATGTTCTGCACGTGGTGCGCCCTCCGTGCTGTGCGCCGCGTTGCAAATTGCTTGATACATTCTGCATCTCGACTTTTATAATTTATAATTACCACTATAACTATCCTACTTTATAGTTTAGTAAGTGTCTACCACTATAACTATCCAACTTTATAGTTTAGTAAGTGTCTACCACTATAACTAATCACTATCATACTTTATAGTTTAGTGAGTGTATACTACTATAACTATAACACTATATTATATACACTATATAAGTCTATAACTATCATACTTTATACTTTTACAGAAATATAGTTTGGGTCAGATCTACATTGTAAATTGTACATTGTACAACCATCCTACTTTATGGTTAAATATTTAGTTATCATCAGTGATTATGACAAACAACATGTAGTTATCAACGCGTTTAAAGTTTCATTATAACAAAAACGAAGGGCTGAAAAAATAACTAAAATGCATTAGTTTTTATCCAGCTAAAGTCGATGTTGTGAGATTATTGTATCCTGCAAAGTAACAATACAAAGGAACTAAGTAGGCTATCCGGACAAAGAAATCGCCGCCTTTTCCGAAAATGACTTTATGAATAAATATAATCTATAATGCTATAGTGACAAGTACCAACAGTCAACACGGACAGTCGGATAAAGTACTTATCTAAGTTCGAGACAATATTGGCAGTAGCTCACATGGTTTTCTCTCATTAAACCATCAACCCAGGAAGTTCTCAAGTCTCAACTACTTACAGTGGTGATGGCAGTAATTAGAATGGGAGGAATTTAATGGCAGTACAGGCTGCGTGAGAAAACAAAATTAATCGACTGAATTTACTGAAGAATTTAATGATGGAAAGAACTATCTAACAAATAACATCTACAAACAAAGCATCTGGCTTGAGGAAGTTGTGTTCGAATAAGTGTTGCCACTCCTGAAGCAACGATCTGTAGCCAAATTAACTTCTAATTCAATATCTCGTTTACTTGTGCTAAAATAGTAAGATAGGAAATGATACGTAGCAACCACCAAATATAACGTGCCACACGTATTATATATACTTTTATGTTAATATGATGCGACAATTGATTGGCAACTTTCTGATTAGCAAATATCCTTGATCTAGACGACATGATTAGTGAATATAGATATAAATGCATCTGTAATTAATTTTGAAGCAAGATTATTAACGTTAAGGCTGTTTCGAGGTCTATTATACAAACTATACTGTATAAGGAGATTAAACAAAAAGCATAGAAAACATTGGCCGAGATAAATAAACGAACACGGTATAGCACTCCAAATCAACGCAACCACGAATTAGAAGACTTCCATTGAATAGTGTTGAGCGCTTAAAGTTAATAAACTGAGTAACACGACGTAAGAAAACATGTAGAGAAAACTGATAAAACGTAGAGAAAACAGGTAAGAACCACAAGATGTACAGTCACAAAACTAGCAATACCCTTTTAACACCCAACCTACTTTATCTTGTCTGCCAATTTAACAAGTCAGCAACCACCAGAATAACGGGAATAATATGTATTTTATGTTCTCTAACATGCGGGAATATATTACATAAGGCGGGTTGTCGCCTTTATTGCACTAGTGGAATGTTGGTATATCTGAACTCTTCTTCAAGAAATGAGACGCAGAAAATATAATGTTATATAATAATGTATAAGTGCACTAAATACTCAAAAAAAGATTTTTTTATAGTGCGACAAAAATAAAAAAACTCGATTATTTTACACCCTTACTCTCACATTACACGGATTAAAGAAAAGCGGACTATATAAACGAATAACTGCAGAGTAATACAAGAAGACGAAAGAAGCACCGATTGGGAATTGTTCAATTATATTGAAACGCTGAAGCCCAGAAGTACAAGTGTTGAAGTAACCTAAAAATACTGGAATGTAAGGAGAGAGCCGAGATGTGCCGTGTGTGTGTGTGTGTGTGGGTTGGATGTCCAATACCAAATCAAGATCACATAGATCAATGTCAATTATAATCTAACTGAGCTATTACTGGAAAGTAAATCGAGTGGTAAATCAAGGCGGATGAAGTCAAACGAAGTTAAATCATCAAGATATTTGTCACGAGATATTTTTGTAGGAGTATCAGTTGAACCACGATCTCGTTTTTCCAGCGGTACGGAGGGTTGCAGTATATGATACCAAACATAAAAACTCTACACACACGCACACTTTAGCTCACTGAAAACCGACAGCAATTCTGTCAACACTATTAATAAATGTCATGTTAGGGCAGCCAATAGGAGAGCTCCGAGCGCTCACGAGACGTGCCCTTGACCAATGAGTGAGCTCGGTGAGACCACGTGATGTGCCCTCGACCAACTGAGAACACGTTCAACTTCATCAGACCTACGTTTTCTCGGCAAATCAAAAATAGTGATGTTCTGCCACGTGGTGCGCCCTGCCGTGCTTGTAGCGCCCGCGTTGCAAATTGCATTACGATACATTCTGCATCTCGACTGTCGTTATTAATTTCAATATTAACTTCAATATTATCACACAGTTACGCTCAGATTAGTACGGTGCAATGAGCATGAGGGCCAGGGGGCTGCAGCGGGAGAGTGCATATTAGCTGCGTTACGCACTGTTGCAGCGCTAATTTGTGCGAGTCACGTGACACCGGGTTAACACGTGGGGTATTATAGGTGACTGTGTCTGCACCTGTGGGAGTTGCTAGGCAACAATGGGAGTTGCTACGTAACGGTAACACTATATAATAAGGGTAATATATAGCTATATATTTTTCCCCGATTGAAAACCACTCTATTCAGGCTACAAGCAGGATGTACACACATTTATTAGTACCTAGCTATATTTAAAGTAACAATAAAATGTGAAAATTCCTCAATGAACTGAAGAAACAGGACTGACCGTATTCAATTAAGTGGATTGCATGAGTTTCCTGATGAGAAGCCCTATGTAAGTATGTAACTCTGCGTTTCATACCCAGGTCTTGTAAGCGGGGTATTTATATTATTATATAGGTAACTCAGTCAAATTCCTGAACACTAGATCACGAAAAATCACGAGGCTTTGAAGGGAGTGGATGTCAACATACGATTGTTGAAATGCTATCAAAATAGAAGCTACAAGTTGCGGTATGAACTAAAAAAGGATGCTTTCATCATAAGTATGACCTGGATTTAATACGAAACGTCAAGCTTATTATCATGTATCATGATCTAGACGCAAGCTAATACGTTCTGAAACCAGTGGTTGGGTATGAATGACAACGGTTAACGCTGTTAACATGTGCTACGAGGAAAAGGAATGATGGTAAAATGCGCCAGCTCCATAATCTATAAATATATTGCATTTAACGTCGAATTATTATTATTTACAAGAAACGACGTTGTATTCAAAACTGGAAGGTAGCTTTACGGAACCGGATAATGCAATAAAGGAAAGCTCTAGTATTGGATTCAACTCATAGAATGTTGACAAACGGGCCACCAGATAAATACATTATGTAAATGTACACCATATTATGGCGAATAGTTATTTATGATAAACGATGATGGATAATAAAAATACAAATCCATATAAATAATAATAAATATTTATGATATCATGCAATGCGGGTAAATCATATAAAATTATTTATTCAAATCTATGTTATCATTATTATCTTAAAGTAATATCATTATATCTAAGGTAATAAATATTTCATTTAGTACAAAATTGAAGCAAAATTTACTAAAAATCTAGAAACTTAAATTTAGAAAGTAAGAAAATAGTAAAAATACTTTGTTAATTAAGTGCAGTAGTGTAAAATAAATATGCACGAATAATATGCGGGTGACTGAACATTAGTGTATGCAAATCTCTGTTGAAACCTTAAACTTGTGCACACATTTGAAAATATATCAATTCTATTAAAAAATTGTTCCGGACGTTAATTAACTGCACCAAGCAATTAACCCAATTAAGCTCTCAAAAATTATTTAAACAATAACTGTATTGATAATAAAAATAGAATCTAAATCGAATAAAAATAATGTCAAAAAACCCATGCTAGCGTCCAGCGCGATTTGACGACAGCTTAAAATAATAATGAAAATATTCTCGATAAATATGCAAAATCTTCTCAATATATAAATAGGTTAGTTGTTTTTAACGCTTTTTGCTGATTGAAACCAAACAAATTGCCGAGAGTCCTTCGCCGTATAAATGAGGTTTTATCAATAATTTCTAAAATAAGTTTCAACATTGCTTGGGTAGTGCACAAAATTCAAAGGTCGGAGATATTGTTACTAGAAAGATACTATCCCTTAAATCCTATCAACCGTCAACAGTAATCACACTTTAATCCAGTACATAATACAGCAGACACAAGTAATACGACGCAAACAGATGGAAGTTAACAACTGTTCTGTCCCACAGTGCACTGATACCATCAGTAACACCTGAACGATGAGGATAATAAGCAAAGTAGAGGGTAACAGGAGCAAGGATCCAGATCAGTATCAGCTCCAGATGTTGGTACAGGATAGCAAAACCCGTTACCTAGGGGAATGTATTAAGTCATGCTTAACGTAATTTTACTGCACTTTTATAGCAGCATGTTTTTGTGCTTTGTAATAAATAGACGACTTACTGACCCATTTCAAAGTTTTAAAATAATTACTGAACAATTATTTCCCTTGAGATTATAACTTTCGTACCTGAACATATGGCATGAGAAGCAGGAGTGAGTATAGGTTAAGAGAGTTCTGGAGACCAAGCTGATTAGCAACTGTTCTTACACCACACTTCAAATCATGTCCTGAGGAAAAGGGACTGGTTTATACTGGACAACATTAGAGTCATGACAGTAAAATTCCAAACATCTGACATTAGCGCACTGTATTATATACAGTATATATGCATGTCTATCTGACATTAGCGCACTTCTACAGTACATGCATGTCTATCTGACATTATATAGCGCACTGTATTATACAGTACATGCATGTAATAAGAGAATATGAACAAACTGACCTGCACTTCTAACATTGCGTGCAAACAGTACTGCAGCAACAGCAATACCCAGAGAACTTGACGCAACTATCACCTCCCCAGAGAACTTCCCTCCTGATAAACAGGAGAACACGAAGGTAGCCACACTCGGACCAAATGTAATGTATGTAACAAACTCTCCCAGGCAGTTGTGCTTGAACTTTAACCCAGTGGAATAGTTGAATCCGATGAATATTGTTTTGAAGAATAAGACATAAGGTATGAGGTGGGCAGATCGTATCATGACGACTCCACTGCCAAAGAACATCATGGAGAATGCCAGACAGAGCCAAGCTCCGTTTATAACTTCATCTTCGTGCAAAAGTTCTTTTACTATAGTTTCATCGTGACAGTTGTCAGCATCATCTATCTGAAACAAAGGTGAAATATTAAAATCATGTTTAATAAAATATTAAATTATCGCAATGTAATAAATCGCAGGAAATAAATCAGTATTCCCTCAGGATAATCCGATGTTTTAAGCTGATTATCAATAACGATTAACATTATGATTGGCTAGATACATTTAAAAGGACAATTCACATACTAAATTTTAATGTATTTATACATTAACAATAACCTTCCTACCTTGTATTTGAAGTCATAGTAAGTGTTGAGTAGGTTACAAGCTACATGTAAAACGATGATAGCCATACTGACAAAACACAGAATACCGAAACTACTACCGCTCTCCTCAGCAAACAGATACCCCACTGCAGCGGGGAACAGACTTGTAGGTAGCGTGTGAAGTCGCCCTGCTCTGAGAAACTTTCCTATCTTGTTGAAAGAAATCATCCTTCATAAAATTAATTGTTAGTTGAATAAGATGGAATTAATTGATTTATGATAAGTTTCTGTATAAAAGTGCTGAATTAGAATATGAGTAGGAGCGTGAACTAAGGGTAACAAGGGAACTAAAGATAGTAAGAAAGGTACCATAAATATTAGCACCACAAATATTGTTGGGAAACTGCCGTTACTTCCACTTGTTACCTTGAAAAAGAATCAATAGAAATGATCATCAGCGTGAGAATTAATAACCATTTCTAGGAAAATATGTAAATCGTCCCATAAAAAGACAATGTTTCATCTCCCCCATGGGCCATGTGTTATGCAGCAACCATGTGTTAACTTTGGGTTACACAGCAACCATGTGTTAAATCAGTATGTGCGGGAGAGTTGTAACTTGTACTGGAATGGGTGCAATGCCATAAAAGTGTTTTTGTCATCCTCAGAGTCTAGACATAGTCTGCCACATTTAGTGACAAATATGTAGCAGCTGTGAATTACATACTAGTGGTGTTTTTTATGTGTTACAACTGCCTCACTCGTATAACATCAGAAAGAACGAAAGACATTTTCCCCAATCTTCATAATAAATTAACTACTAAAGAAGAGTAAACTACCCGAATATAGAATATAATCATCGAAAATAAATTACAAAATTGTAACATTTGCTAGCCAGGGACATAGCCAGGATTTTTCTTTGAGGGGGGCTGTCGGCGAGCGAAGCGAGCCGACGCGTCCAATCAAGCTGTGGCAGGGGTCTGGGGGCACAGCCCCCAGCGGGGTCCAGGGGCGGAGCCCCTTGGCGGGGGCTAGGGGGGCGCAGCCCCCCGGAAATTTTTTGCGAAACAGGGTGTTTTAGACGACATTTGGCATTAAAGAAATTTGTTGGACAGCAATAAACTGGGATTGAAAAGAATCAAGTACTCACGTAAATTTGGTAACATCACAACAGCAATCTGCATTCTCCAATCAGAATTTACGACTTACTCAGGCCTCATCGTCTTAAGATTTTTACATTTCCTACGGTCTAGGGGACACTATTGACTATAATTATAGAAGTCTTCTAGAATGTTTGCTTGGATTTAATGACATATATTTACTAATCCACAGTTCAAATCTTTGACTGACTGCAGTCATAAACACAGCCCAGTTACCAGGCGACCATGGGGACTAGGGGGCTTATCTTTTTTCTGGGGTTCGATTTTTTCCGGGGGGGCTGCCGCCCCCCTAGCCCCCCCCCCCCCCCCTGGCTACGTGCCTGTTGCTAGCAGCACACGTTCCGACAATAACAAATACTATCAAATAGCAATAAGACAAAGATTACTGATTAGATGGAAAAAAAGGATAAAATTGTTATAATATATGAGTTCTAAGATTATTCTTTGTATTATAAATATATATTATAGCTAATGTGAGAAGGTGTCACGGTGAAGAAGAGGTAAAGAAGAGATCCAACGAGGAAGGAGTAACAGAAGGTGTGTTAGAGTAACAGTGCTGTGTAGAAGGTGTACCAGCCTGCGAAGTCCTTCGTGGATAGTGTAGTAGAACACCGGTAGGTTCTAGTGTAGGTTATAGTTTAGGTTTATTCTTTTATATTGATTGATGATAGTTGTAGGTTTATATATTTCTTATGTTGTAAATGATTCATATTTATTGTATTACTTATGAATCATATTTCAGGTGTTTTTAGTGTGTGTGTGTAGTATTGTAGTGGAGTGTGGAACGAAGATAAGAAGATATAGTAAACAGTAGCTAGGAGTGTAAGTAGTAGTCAACTAGAAGAAAGAAGATAGTAACGAAGAAGTGTATTTTGTATAAACATAGTTTTAGTAATATATTTTAGTAGGAAGTAAAGACTTTTAGTTCGGATATTATTTGGTGATATTTTAGTGTAGTAGTTTTAGTAAGTAGTTAGTTAGTAGTTAGTTTATAGTGGGAATCGGGTACAGGTCTAGGGAGGTTAGTGAGTAAGTGAATTATTATAATATCTAGTGTTAATTTATTAACACCTTCTATTTCAGTTTATTTATTATAATTCCGAGTTTTATTTTGTATTAACATTCCATTTTATTGTGTATCAATTAAGGTCAGGAATAGGTTGTAACAGTGGTAGCAGGAAGAAAACCATCAGGAGTCAAGGAAAGTAAAGTAAAGTGTTAAAAGTAAAGTAAAGTGTAAAAGAAAAGTAAAGTTTAAAGTAAAGATTTAAAGTAAAGTAAAGATGGGTAGTGAAAGAATACCAGTATTGAATGATGCGACAGATTATGGTCTATGGAAGAAAGAAGTCAATATATGGGTACTTGGAACTCAAGCTAAAGAAGCACAACAGGCGGCCAGATTGATTGGATTTATGTCTGGAAAAGCTCACGAAGCAGCTATACAGATTCCTCCTGAAGAACTCGGAACTGTAGCGAAGCTGACAACTGAGTTGGACAAACTCTTTTTGAAAGATGACACACAAAGCTTGTTTCAAGCTATCGAAGAATTTGAGCAGTACAATCGCTCTAAAGAAGATAGTATTGATGATTACATCAGAGGGTTCGAACAGAGATACAAACGACTGAAGTCTCTTCGAGAAGACAAAGATGCTTATGAAGACGGGATCAAGGCCTTCAAGTTACTTCACCAAGCAAGCCTAACATCAGAACAGAAAAGACTCATACGAGCAACAACAGAAACACTGACGTATGATGGCATGGTAAAAGCTCTGAAACGTACTTTTGGAGATGGTTCTGGAATTATTAGCAGTTCCAGCAATGATCAAGGAAAGAACGCAAATCCTTACTTCTCAGCAGCTAGTTCTAGTGGTATAAAAATCAAAGAAGAACCAGTATTTTATACCAAAGATTCTTACCACAGCAGCAGCTCAGCTAGTGACAGAAGCGGATATTGTTCGTCTGGTAGTGACAAGAGAAACCAGCATAGCAGTACTAGTGACAGAGAAAAAGACGATGAAGAGAATGTTCTGTATTTCCAAGGTGGAAAATACCGAAGACAAAGACCAGCAGAGCAATCCTACCAAAGACCTAACTCGTCAGAGCAACAGTTTCAAGGACAAAGACCTACAGGACAATCCTACCATAGACAAAGTCCCAACTACTACCAACAACAACATCTTATGAAAAAGGCAGAGAATTTCAAGAAAACAACTTGTCTAATATGTGACTCGCCTGAACATCGAGTAATCGGGTGTCCTTATAATAAGTTCACTCCAGAAAGAAAGAAAGAAGATGACAGTAAAAGATTGACGTTTTTAACCAAGGTAGTACAACTGGAATCAGCAATAGCCCATCCAGAAAGAGCTGAAAGATGCACATTTCTTCTCGAAGAAACAGTGAATAAAGCACTGTTGGACACAGGAGCAAGTTCTACTGTCTGTGGAAAGCAATGGTTAAAGATCTATAAAGAATCGTTATCACCAGAAGAAGCTATAAAGATAAAGACTGAACATTGTGAAACAACGTTCCGCTTCGGAGACGGAAATAGGGTAACATCTACTCAACTGGTAACACTACCAGTAAACATGTTTGGAAGAAACTTCACTCTGAAGACTTATGTAGTAAATAGTGAAATACCGTTGTTACTATCAAGACAAATGATGAATGACTTTTGTTTTGTTATTGACATGAGGCAGAAAAAAGTTTATGCAATGGGAGGAGAGGAACCCATTTTAGATACTACATCAGGGCATTTAGTGGTGTCAATAAACGGAAGAGCGTTTAACCGCGTTAACCCCTGCAGGATAGTACAAAATGAACAGAGCTCACAAACTGATGATGTACCAGAGAAAGAGCAAAGACCTCACCCAAAGGCAAAGACTCGTGATTCTCATGAGAGTGAGGGAGAGAAAAGAATCCCGACAAAGACAGCGACCTGGTTCTACGAGACTGTGTATTATTCAGACTCAGACTCAGAAGAAGATTCAACATCTACTTCAGCAATTAATGACGAAGTTGATACAGCAGTACGACAAGAGGAGACCACACCCTTACCACAAGAGGCTACCCCCTCAGTTGAAGTAGAGGAAATCAAACCTATACCACAAGAGGTTACCCCTCCGGTTGAAATCAAAGAAGAAGAGACTCAACCGAAATGGACAAGTAAAGAACAAACGGGAAAGAAAAACGCAGTCATACTGAAAAAGGGTGACACAATAAGATTCAGAGATGGAGACAATGAAGAATGGAAATGTGGGCTGATAGACAGTCGAGCAGGAAAGGCGACAGGTGCACTCAAGAACAGCTATAATGTGCACGTTGATGGTGAGGATGAGGCTCAAGTAATCGACCTAACTGATAAAAAGGTGGAAAGATTGCTTTGTACAAAAGAAGACAAACTCACAGTCACGAAAGAAGTACCAAAACAGGTCCCAAAAAAGGTCCCAACGCAGAAGATCGTCAGAAAGAAATAGAGACAGGACTGTTCCAGAATTCGCAGTGTCAACCATCAAAAGATCAAAGACCTGAGCTTATACTCAGGAGTGTCAAAGAACCATTCATGTCATTTTAATTACCAACACGTGTAATGTAATTTACCAATTTGTGTCATTTTATTAATAATTACTTTAACAGATTTGTTTTACAAGAATTTATTTATAGTTTTGTATTGTAGTTCAAAACTACAACTTTTAACGGGAATTTTATATACTTTTTACGTGCATATTTAAACGCTTATTTTAATATTCATGAATATTTTCAATTTTGTAACCTGTTTAACAGCGAGTGTTTTGACAGGGAAATTTGTAATATTTCAAACATCACCTGTTATGATGTTGATAACTGCAGTGTGGCAGTGTTTCCTAACAGTTAGATTTTAAAATTTTAGAAAGTTGGGTATTTTAAACTAAGAAAATTGGATACATTCACTGTGTAAAGTTAACCTCATTTACGTATTTTCCTATAATTTTAACCCCGAATTACAGATCCCTATCTTCATGAACGGAAACTTTTTAAACTTTCAGGTCGAGTATATGATCTCGAACTGGTAACTATTAACAACAAATTTTCAGTGCCAAAGTCCTATCTCCTAACATCACTTTATTTTTTTCGCAGTTAATTTCTTGTCAGTTAGTCAGTACCTGTCAGTATCAATTTTAACACTGCTAACAAATAGATCAATTCATATAAAATATAAATATCGAGTGTGCATGTTAAAATATTGTTAAAGCTGTTGATTAGTTTGTATCTTACTGGAAAACTGAGTTTTAGAAACAGTTGAGCAATAACCTATATTTTGATTGTTACAGTTGGTGGAAGCTTTTTTCCAGTTCAACTAAGAGAGGTTTTGCTAAACTGTCGGCTTATTCTTCGGAATATTGACCTAGCTCCAGTTTAATCAGTTTTCTAGTAAAATTCTAACACAGCAATTTCTCAAGAAAAACGGTATGTTTTAAAAAGGGAGTTTCGGTGAAAACGCCAATTTTAATCGTAAGTTATGATTTTGCAGAATTCTGCAGTATTATGGGGTACTTTGAATTTTGTAAATCTGATAATTTTTGATTCAGATGATTGAGACGGAAGTTTTAAAATGACGTGGATTTTAAACGATTTTTTAAGTAGACCTTTTTTCCTTTGTGAGAGGAAAATTTTGCTTATTACTAGCAAAATTTGAAATTTAGAACGGCGCGGCGTGTTGTGCACGACAGTTCTTTTTGTATTTTGGTGGATCGGTTTTCGGGCTTTTTTAAAAAAATTTTAAAATTGGGATGAGTGTTATAATATATGAGTTCTAAGATTATTCTTTGTATTATAAATATATATTATAGCTAATGTGAGAAGGTGTCACGGTGAAGAAGAGGTAAAGAAGAGATCCAACGAGGAAGGAGTAACAGAAGGTGTGTTAGAGTAACAGTGCTGTGTAGAAGGTGTACCAGCCTGCGAAGTCCTTCGTGGATAGTGTAGTAGAACACCGGTAGGTTCTAGTGTAGGTTATAGTTTAGGTTTATTCTTTTATATTGATTGATGATAATTGTAGGTTTATATATTTCTTATGTTGTAAATGATTCATATTTATTGTATTACTTATGAATCATATTTCAGGTGTTTTTAGTGTGTGTGTGTAGTATTGTAGTGGAGTGTGGAACGAAGATAAGAAGATATAGTAAACAGTAGCTAGGAGTGTAAGTAGTAGTCAACTAGAAGAAAGAAGATAGTAACGAAGAAGTGTATTTTGTATAAACATAGTTTTAGTAATATATTTTAGTAGGAAGTAAAGACTTTTAGTTCGGATATTATTTGGTGATATTTTAGTGTAGTAGTTTTAGTAAGTAGTTAGTTAGTAGTTAGTTTATAGTGGGAATCGGGTACAGGTCTAGGGAGGTTAGTGAGTAAGTGAATTATTATAATATCTAGTGTTAATTTATTAACACCTTCTATTTCAGTTTATTTATTATAATTCCGAGTTTTATTTTGTATTAACATTCCATTTTATTGTGTATCAATTAAGGTCAGGAATAGGTTGTAACATCATCGTCTTAAGATTTTTACATTTCCTACGGTCTAGGGGACACTATTGACTATAATTATAGAAGTCTTCTAGAATGTTTGCTTGGATTTAATGACATATATTTACTAATCCACAGTTCAAATCTTTGACTGACTGCAGTCATAAACACAGCCCAGTTACCAGGCGACCATGGGGACTAGGGGGCTTATCTTTTTTCTGGGGTTCGATTTTTTCCGGGGGGGCTGCCGCCCCCCTAGCCCCCCCCCCCCCCCCCCTGGCTACGTGCCTGTTGCTAGCAGCGCACGTTCCGACAATAACAAATACTATCAAATAGCAATAAGACAAAGATTACTGATTAGATGGAAAAAAAGGATAAAATTGGAAGATTAAAAACAAATCTTAAAAATAAAAATAATAAATAATAACTAGCGACCAGCGATAATTTGGCAAACAGCAACCATTTAAAAGCAATTCAATCCTATTATTAATAACGCAAATATGAACCTAATGGTGAATGAGCATGAAAAAATAAAGATTTACTATGAAATACAACACATTTATCCGGTAATATAATAAAGCAGACCCAAGTAAAATGATGCAAACAGATGGAAATTAATCAGAGTTTTATCAAACAGGCCGCCAACACCGTCCATAACACCAGAACGACGAGGATTATAAGCACAGTAGAGGGTGACTGGAACTAGCACCCAAATTAATGTTAGCTCCAGATGTTGGTACAGGATAGCAAAACCCGTCACCTGGAAATACAGAATTGTCTACATTAAAATATAACACTTTCAGGTTAAAATTTTAAGGTAGAAGAGTTGGTAAAATTATCAAGTTAAAATTGTTTTTGAAAATTTCGTACCTGAACATATGGCATGAGAAGCAGGAGTGAGTATAGGTTAAGAGAGTTCTGGAGACCAAGCTGATTTGCGACTGTTCTCACACCACACTTCAAATCATGTCCTGGAGGAAATTTGTAGTTTTGAAAACGTCAGAAATATTGTAAAGCTGGTAGAAACATACCAGCGCTTGGATTTAAAGATGATGGCATCCCAGGAATGTGAATTAGAATTGTGTAAGTCCTTTAACCCCTCAAGTGCCCTTTTATTTGCAATTATTCAACAGGGACAAGTCGAAACAATTAGGGGTGTCAGTAAATCTACGGTGAGTTTCTCAAACAAATGGAACAACAAAGCTATTACATTTTGAGGAGAAGTTGGTCAATTGGAACACATACTTATAAATAAATTTACAGCAATATTAAGTTAACTATTCATTTTAAAGCTAACTCAAACTACACACCTGAATCTCTGACATTATTAGCGTATAGTATTGAAGTGATAGCAATACCAAGAGGACTTGAGGCGACAATCAGCTCCCAAGAAAACTTCCCATCTGATAAACAAGAGTACACAAACGTAGCAATACTTGGTCCAAATGTAATGTATGTAAAAAACTCTCCAAGACAGTTGTGCTTGAACTTAAATCCAGTTGAATAGTTAAATCCAATGAATATTGCTTTGAAGAATAGGACGTAAGGTATGAGGTGAGCAGATTTGGTGATGAAAACTCCACTGCCAAAAAATAGCATTGAAAATGCCAGACAGAGCCAAGCTGCATTCAGAACTTCATCTTCGTGAAGTATTTCCTTAACCAAAGTTTCATCATAGCAGTGGTCAGCATCATCTATCTGAAAAATTGCAAATTTGTAAACGATGAAAAGAAAATATATATTGCAATTGAAATAATAATGACCATGTAGCCATTGACCTAAAAAGGACAATCCTGAAGAACTTATTGTGTCAAAGCAAGCTAAGTTGAAAAATCGATAACAATGTATCAATCAAATAACCTTTCCTACCTTGTACTTAAAGTCATAGTAAGTATTCAGTAAGTTGGATGCCACATGTAATAGAGCAACAGTTATAAAGACAAAAAATAGTATAGCTAAACTGTTGCTCTTCTCCTCAACAAATAGATATCCTGCTGCAGCGGGAAATAGACTACATGGTAGTGAAAAAAGCCGTGTAGCTTTGATATATTTTCCAATTTTGGAGACAGACACCATCTTTCTAGCAATAAAAAGATCGGATTAGACATAAAATCAATGATGATTTCGGAAAGCTGCTGATCTCCAGTGGTTGACTAAAGTTACTCTGCATTATATTAGAGTTACGGCCAGTGGCGTAACGAAAGGCGTTAACAATAATCCCACAGACCACAGAGTCAGTTAAATTGTAAGCATAGATGCCATCCAAATTTTTCTATGTTCCTGGACAACAGAATAAATGATCATTCTTGACAAATTTCAATAAAATCACTTCTAAAACAAGATGTCCTCTGGTTTCATGGATGCCATTTCCAATCTCTTTCAACTAAATTTTCATCTGGCAACATATTTTATACAATTACACAATATAATTTGCAATATTGTCTATTAAAATTCCCTTTCATTGTGGTATTCCCAACATCGAAAAACCACCAAAGTTGAAAGTCTCTCTGATATCAAATTCAAGATACATTTAATGAATAGTATTAACACAGTACTGAGAGCACCTTAAAACAAGTTATTATTTTGCCATTGAATTTGAAGGTTCGTAGTCCTCATATCTAACACCATCTGCATGTGGTCACATACCGTCGAGTCGTAAAGATGGGCACATGGACTATAAAATCTACAGAAAATTTCAGGTAGCGCTCGATTATTATAACAGCCTGTTTATTTAGCTCAAAATATAGCATCGCGCGCGGCTCACAGCGCAGCAACATACTGTGGATTAAAACTATGTTTTTTGGTTTTAGTATTGAATTATGATTAAAAATTAATAATTTAAAACCAATTTATTTTATTTTTTCATTATTTTTTAATGAACATTATGTAATAAAATAATTTTCAATGTTACTTCTATGAATTATCATAATATCAATCAATATTAATAAAGCGCCGCGCGGACTTTAACAAATTTATGGAAGTTTGACAAAACCATTTTACATTTTAGTCGCGTTGGAAAAGCAGCACGTTTTTTTGCCGCTATGATCGTACTTTAAATTAACATAGCAAGTTATTAATTAGGAATGCGTCGGGCCGTGGCCGTGTTTGTGGAACCATTTTAGGTCCATACGTTATTTAAATATATTGTGTCGTGTTTGATTCCTACTATTCGAATGCAAAAACGTTGAACTTGTATCGTGTAGAGCCGAAATCCAATGTTTACTGTTTAACGAGTTTCGTTCCTGGCTCCGGGATTAAAACCTTCATTTGTTACATTGGCATAATATAAAGTGTAAATTAATTATTGGCATGGTAGAAAGTAGAAACTGACGTGGTTATATTACTGGATTAGGTTTATAGTACAGGGTGGGCCAAAAGTCAGTGTGCAAACGTTGGCCTTAATAGCTCAGTCACTGAGTGCCCAATTGAAATACTTCCTTCTGGTATGACTTAGTACCACCACTGGTTCGAGGAATTTGTCAACTCGAAAAATATTCGCGTTCATTTTTTTCAAATGGAGGTTCATTTTCGCATTTATTTGATAGTTTGGATAGTCGGATCAAGCTAAATGTTATTGAATTGTGTTTGGCCATTCGAATTACGTTTGTCCTGAAAGAATTAGAACTGTAGCTTCTCAGATGACCGAGATATGAAGCATAACGAGTTTATTCATTACGTGTGATCAGGTGATTGGTTTACCTAATCACGTGATAAGGTGACCCCGTTAACTACCCCGTTAAACATTATGGGAATTGTTAAGGGTGCCCAATTAAGGTGTCGTGTCACGGTGTCACATAATCACCCAGTCAATTTTGTTAACGAGATACACAAAATGCTTGTTAACTTCGTCATTTCTAATCCGTTTTGCCTCATGTTTTCAGATCATATGCAACATTTGATAATCTACCGTCTCTGAAAAAATTAGGCGTTCAGGATGTTCAGAGAAAACAATATAGGTGTTTTAATATTGAATGGGCGTGGTCTAAAATATTCGAATTTTCAAATTTTGACGACGGAATCCTCGAACCAGTAAGTACAGTATGCCATCTGCAAAGCAACAGCTCTCAAATATAAAACACGGCGGAGGTATAAGACCCAACGTTTGCACACTGACTTTTGGCCCACCCTGTATTTCTATTTTGGCCAGTCAATTCCATATTTCAATCGTGGGTAGTCAGCATGGTGTCATGTAGCTAATTGTATCATCATAAAAACGCAGACATTGTATTGATTTTTACTACTATGGTGCCAGCAAATGATAGTAATTATCCCTTAACGTGCAGAACTTGACAACTATGTTGTATAACATGACTTGACTTGACTTAAGACGGGTAGTGTTCCCGAGATCCATTGACAACAGTTCTCCACACTAGCTTTCTGTCCCCCATCAGTCTAGCTATCTCATCTACTGACTTCAGCCCAGTATCTGCTTTTAGGTTATCTATAGTAGTGTTAAGTAAGGTCACCCCCTGTTAGTATGCCCATGACTCGGCTTCCAGAGGATCAGTTTGTTTAGTGTCAGCTCCGGATGTCGGTGAGCATGACCTGCAAGTCTGAGCCTTCGTTGGGTTATCTTGGAGCTGACTTTGGGAAGATCATTGTACAGGCTGTGGTTGCTGACAAGGTATCGATGTTGATTGATGTTAATTGCGTATATATGAACGTATATTTAATTTCGGCTATTTTTACTATGAAATCGAGTGACTTTAAACACGTATTTTTGTGATGAACTGTTGAGATACTGCGAATTTGTTACATACATTTACCGTTATATTAAGGAGTACTGATTACCTGTACATAATATATTCGCTCAACACCTTCAATTAATGTCATCAAATTTTAGACGACCTCACTACGTGAACGGCCGGAGCTTACCTGTCCGGATGGGTTAATTTCATTGTATCAATCTTTAAAATGTTGTAAATCATGGCAGAGGGGGTCATGAAGCATCGCAGTAACTTATTTCAAACTCCTTGAATCGAGATCAAACCTTTGCAGTGTATTCAGAATCAAAATATTATATGCACTTATCACTTAGAATACTTTTGAAAGAGAATAACAAACTCAAAAACGCTACTGTATTATTTTTCCGTGAAAAACACAATAGCGTGGGTAGTTTTTGCCGAGGTGCCTTGAAAGTGATCTTAAACTATTCCCTATTCAATCTTGGTCGATACACGTCAACTTAGTGCAGAATCAAGCAAGCAAGTTATAGAACTCTTCGATACGTATCAAATTGGATGTGCTTTCTGTGGAAATATAGTGCGTGCCTTGATGTAATTGACCCCCTGCAGTCTACTCGTTGATGGGTCATAGAACAATAGCTGTTCAACCATTTATTTGCGCTGCAATACAGATGCAGTTCAGTGCATAAGGTTTACTTTATGATTTAATTTCTGATTTCTCGACAGAACATCCTTGTTTCTTCCTCCTTGCTCAATGTTCATAGATATTTTTTAACTAGGTTATCAGTCAAAATGGTTAAACCGACATCGAAATCGACCTTCAAACTAACTAATTTTAATCCCTTAGCACTTAGATAGATAGCACTTAGATAGATAGCACTTAGATAGGTAGCACTTAGATAGGTAGCACTTAGATAGGTAGCATTTAATCGAGATCAAACCTTTGCAGTGTATTCAGAATCAAAATATTATATGCACTTATCACTTAGAATACTTTTGAAAGAGAATAACAAACTCAAAAACGCTACTGTATTATTTTTCCGTGAAAAACACAATAGCGTGGGTAGTTTTTGCCGAGGTGCCTTGAAAGTGATCTTAAACTATTCCCTATTCAATCTTGGTCGATACACGTCAACTTAGTGCAGAATCAAGCAAGCAAGTTATAGAACTCTTCGATACGTATCAAATTGGATGTGCTTTCTGTGGAAATATAGTGCGTGCCTTGATGTAATTGACCCCCTGCAGTCTACTCGTTGATGGGTCATAGAACAATAGCTGTTCAACCATTTATTTGCGCTGCAATACAGATGCAGTTCAGTGCATAAGGTTTACTTTATGATTTAATTTCTGATTTCTCGACAGAACATCCTTGTTTCTTCCTCCTTGCTCAATGTTCATAGATATTTTTTAACTAGGTTATCAGTCAAAATGGTTAAACCGACATCGAAATCGACCTTCAAACTAACTAATTTTAATCCCTTAGCACTTAGATAGATAGCACTCAGATAGGTAGCACTCAGATAGGTAGCACTTAGATAGGTAGCACTTATATAGGTAGCACTTAGATAGGTAGCACTCAGATAGGTAGCACTTAGATAGGTAGCACTCAGATAGGTAGCACTTATATAGGTAGCACTCAGATAGGTAGCACTTAGATAGGTAGCACTCAGATAGGTAGCACTCAGATAGGTAGCACTCAGATAGATAGCACTTAGATAGGTAGCACTTAGATAGGTAGCACTTAGATAGGTAGCACTCAGATAGGTAGCACTCAGATAGGTAGCACTTAGATAGGTAGCACTTAGATAGGTAGCACTTAGATAGGTAGCACTTAGATAGGTAGCACTTAGATAGGTAGCACTCAGATAGGTAGCACTTAGATAGGTAGCACTTAGATAGGTAGCACTTAGATAGGTAGCACTTAGATAGGTAGCACTCAGATAGGTAGCACTTAGATAGGTAGCACTTAGATAGGTAGCACTTAGATAGGTAGCACTTAGATAGGTAGCACTTATATAGGTAGCACTTAGATAGGTAGCACTCAGATAGGTAGCACTTAGATAGGTAGCACTCAGATAGGTAGCACTTAGATAGGTAGCACTTAGATAGATATCACTCAGATAGGTAGCACTTAGATAGGTAGCACTTAGATAGGTAGCACTTAGATAGGTAGCACTTAGATAGGTAGCACTTAGATAGGTAGCACTTAGATAGGTAGCACTTAGATAGGTAGCACTTAGATAGGTAGCACTTAGATAGGTAGCACTTAGATAGGTAGCACTTAGATAGGTACCACTTAGATAGGTAGCACTTAGATAGGTAGCACTTAGATAGGTAGCACTTAGATAGGTAGCACTTAGATAGGTACCACTTAGATAGGTAGCACTTAGATAGGTAGCACTTAGATAGGTAGCACTTAGATAGGTAGCACTTAGATAGGTAGCACTCAGATAGGTAGCACTTAGATAGGTAGCACTTAGATAGGTAGCACTTAGATAGGTAGCACTTAGATAGGTAGCACTTAGATAGGTAGCACTTAGATAGGTAGCACTCAGATAGATAGCACTCAGATAGATAGCACTTAGATATGTAGCACTTAGATGGGTAGCACTTAGATAGGTAGCACTTAGATAGGTAGCACTTAGATAGGTAGCACTTAGATAGGTAGCACTTAGATAGGTAGCACTCAGATAGGTAGCACTTAGATAGGTAGCACTCAGATGGGTAGCACTTAGATAGGTAGCACTTAGATAGGTAGCACTTAGATAGGTAGCACTTAGATGGGTAGCACTTAGATAGGTAGCACTTAGATAGGTAGCACTTAGATAGATAGCTCTCAGATAGGTAGCACTTAGATAGGTAGCACTTAGATAGGTAGCACTTAGATAGGTAGCACTTAGATAGGTAGCACTCAGATAGGTAGCACTTAGATAGATAGCACTTAGATAGGTAGCACTTAGATAGGTAGCACTTAGATAGGTAGCACTTAGATAGGTAGCACTTAGATAGATAGCACTTAGATAGGTAGCACTTAGATAGGTAGCACTTAGATAGGTAGCACTTAGATAGGTAGCACTCAGATAGGTAGCACTTAGATAGGTAGCACTCAGATAGGTAGCACTTAGATAGGTAGCACTTAGATAGGTAGCACTTAGATAGGTAGCACTTAGATAGGTAGCACTCAGATAGGTAGCACTTAGATAGGTAGCACTTAGATAGGTAAGCGTTTTCAACGGAAATATTGTATGGGTTATAAAAAGTGTTAAAGTTTATAGAGTTGATAGTCCCTAAAAGCAATCACACAGTTCTTTTCTTATCTTTGATCAATTCCTGAAATTGTTATACCTTATCTGCTGGAACGTCAGCGCAAACGATCATTGCTGTTTAAGTTTTTTAGCCGTTAATATTTTCAAATATTCCTAGGTAAAATGTACATCACAGTGCGACACGGAGCAGACGAGAGGGTGATATTTAACCCCCTCTGTCGAGTTGCAAACCTCCTCTCGGAAATCAAAACACGGTGCAATATAACGGACGGTGATCTGGACTGCATTGATCTGTGTGATGAGTCTGGTTTGTGCTTTTATTCTGTCGGAACTTTGTTGAACTTAGACTACCTTACTCGGGAATATTATAGCGGGTTAATTTATGACTGGGAAAATTAATAACCGGGAAAAATATGGCGGAATTTCCCAAAACCCGCCAAATTATCCCGGTCATGTTTTTACCGGTGGCCGACCTTTCAAGTTTTTTTTCAGAGGTCAACAAATTTTCAACCGAAATTTCTGTTTTTGTTACTTTTACAGTTACTGATATTACTCAGAAATAGAAAAAATACACGTCTAGTATTTAAAGGAAAATAAATCTATAGCAATAATAAGTAAAATCTTCATTAAAGCGTATTCTCATTCTCATTATCGCTAATGTCCCCTCCATTATCATTATTGATATCCCCCTGCTGCTGACCGTCAAATTCGAAGTTGTATTGTTGTCTTAACAAGACTTTCATTTTGTCCGCTAATGGGGCTACTGCTCTGAAGGTCAGCCGGAGCTTAATTTCCTGCCCACCGCTTGGTATTGGGGAACGTCTTGGCTTTGCATCTTCAACTGCTCCAGTAATCAATCCACCGTGGACCATGAAATAGTGGCACAGTTTACTCACTTCATGGGCAAGAAAAGTGAGAATCACGGTCCACCCTGAAATCTGATTTCTATAACCAAATTGTGATATTTATAACGAAATTATGGTAGCAACCGCCAATAAAGTTACAGCCCTCCATCCACTGCTTCAAAAGTCTTCTCTAGCACATATGAGACTTCAGGTAAAATATGATGATCACCACCCCCTTGGAACCCCATAATCTGAGTCGGCGGGTTTTTTTATGACTGGTAAAATTTTTAACCGGGAAAAATATGGCGGAATCTTCCAAAACCCACCACTTTATCCCGGTTATAATAATCCCGAGTAAGGTAAGTAAAAGTTTCCCAACATGAATATTTTGTTAGACGACCTATAACTATCTGTAGTTTATTATTTCAGCATTATATACAGTAGCATTATATAAAATAGGGATGCATTGTTCAGCTGAAATGCTCTTGAATATAACACATTAATAACACATGAATTGCATCCTAGTTTCCTGGTCTGATATACAAATTGCTTGCTATTATCTCTCAACATGTTTCTATTAAGAAGATGGTCATTTCTTCAAAAAGTTTCAGCTATCGATATGATGTAAAAGAAAAAACACGTTGTGCGATGAAACATGTGCGATCGTTGATTGGACATACTCTGTTGAGATTAATGAAGTGGTGGGTATGTGTTGTCAGAGTGCATATAGTGTATAATAACTATAGTATCAGCGTAGTGAATAGTAATAATATAGAATATAGATCATATCCATGCGCTTAGCTAAGACAAGAAGTGAATTGGAACGAAGTGTAACCGTGAACACCAATATACCACCATAATTGTAGAATAAACAATGATAATGCAATTGTTAAATGCTTGTATATAGATTTTAATCGATTTTAATTTATTTGATTAAATATTTCATGTGTCACTGAATTTAAACGTTATATCGCTCAAATCGTGACAGTGATGTTATCTCTAAAATCATGACCGTATCACTCGAATCAAGTACCTTTCACTCAAATCACGTACAGTTATCTGCAGGACAAGTGAAGAACCTACCACTTCACAAGCGAGCGTACGCTTCCAAATACCTCACAGTTCCCGGTACCTATGTGGTAGTAGAAAGGAAAAAAATACCTCTTATTGGAGGGAAGGAGCTTGCTGTTAACGAGGTAAAATGTAACTTACTGAATGAGTGAATGGCGATCAGCAGCTGTCACTCCGCATATAGTGTATATGAGCACTTAAGCCTGAGATCCTTAGGTAAAATTTAACTTTAATTTAAATCACTCACTTGATATTCTCCAGGTCTAATGTTCAATTCAGGTTCTTTTTACGAGTGATAAGAAACTAATAATTTACCTTCCTGTAAAGTTGGTTCCACTACCACTTGCCAGATCAACTACCTGTGCTGTGATTAAAAATTTTGTTTATTGAGTCATTCATTCTGGCCGTTGGAGCATACAAAACTTAAAGTTTTCGCGATATTTGTCAGATGAGGTTTCATCGTAAAGTTGCTGATCTACACAGAGTGGAATTTTCCTATTAAGAGTGCAGTGCCCTTGTGAGGGATTATTACAATTTTTATTATATATTTGTAAAAAATTAAAATTGGTCATTAGAACCACCCCGGCACCGTCTCGGTTTACTATCAATCATCAGCTTTCGAACCGTTTCTCTTTAGAGTTTATATCGATGGAGCTCTGCTTCTATGATTGAAAGATTAGGATGTCGAAGATAAGATTTATTTGTTCTTGTATTAGCAGAATATAATGCAATCGCATATCACATATCATACCGAGATACTTACAGATAATATTCATTTGTGGTCGCATTAGTGCGGCAATTATTGTTAATGTTTAACGGACCTGAGAAAAAGGCCATGATATATTTCATTTTGATTTGTATTGCTATATTTCGTTTTAATATAGATTACTATAATCTAATAATCCTATCCACCAGATGAACGACACCAAGGACGGTGAGGAAGATGAAAGTATTTTGAGTGTTACAGTCTACAGATCACTTCTCAAGAATACCGAGATGCTCCTCCCAGGATTCTCTATTAAGAACTTTCAGAGCCCGCCTCGCAAGGAACCTCGTAAAGGTAAGGGACCATCTTTTACACGGTTACAAGATTGTTATGTGTGGAGTTTGTCTTCTTTTTGTAGATGTTATTGTTAACTGATCCATGATAGCTGTATTTACTGTAATAATAGGAATGGTCGGTTTTACTCATATTTGTGCGATATTTTAATGATAAGAAAGGATGTGGACTTACTCATATGCTAATTATTGTGGCTATTCATATGCTAATTTGACTTATTTTCCGAAGAACATCTATAATGAATTATTAATTATGAGAAATTAAAACTGTGAACAATTAGATTTGATCCAGCCATTGTATTCAACATTTCTTCGGAACTGTTATCTTCTTCAGAACCGTAATCTTCACTGATCTTTAGTAACATAGACCATAGTGAAAAGAGAGACTTCTTCGAATATCATTACTGATAAAACAACGGAGAGGAAGTTTAAAATGCTTTTGATGGTCCTCTCAGACTTTTTTATTACCCATTACGCCTTTTACAGACAAGCTTACTTGGTAGAATCTCATAAATAGGCCTTCCACAGGCCTTTCACAGGCCTTTTAGTTTTACAGGCCTTTTATAGTGTACATTGGTGTTATAATCAAGTGTTTGCAACTCACTCAAAATATTGACAGCAGTACAGAGAGTCAAGAGTGTAATCACTTACCTACACTTGGCCCTGATAACTAAGAACCACCGACTGGATCTTGAAAAGAACTATACCCTACAACCTTGCCCACTGCGATTACAACACTAATTGTTACACTGGACCCTGGAAAGTTGGAAACTAGTAGTGACTTTGTCAACTGTTTCTCGAACAAGCTTTGTCAGCTGTTTTTGTAACAAGCTGTCATTCTGTACGGCCCTTTTTCATGGTATGACCTGAGACCTCCAACAATGTTAAAGTAAAATCTCAACACGTGTCGAAGACGCCTGTCAAATACGATTATTAGTAAACATCAACATTAATAAACATTAGGTGGCCTAGTAATAATATAATTTCTAAGGAAAAGGGAGTTGGAACTTCACTTAGTATAGAGGTGGACGTCAGCACATACGCAACACGCATACATCTGATTTGAATTCAAGATGCTTGAATTTGTATAGTATCGAAGATTTATACAATATTTGTTTAGCCCCATGGGTCTGTAACTTTCACATTTCAGTCAATTTAGCTCGACAGAGAAAAGAACTGGAGAAAGTTCAAGTAACACCGACCAGTCCCACACCACGTGCCTCCAGCACTCTGAGAACAACTAAACTAGCCAAGATCAGGAACAAAGTAACTCGATAAGGAAGGACAGGATGTTTCACTCAAAAAATAGAGGAGAAGAGAGTTTTTACACTCGCATTAATCAGTCGCTGTTCAGGTGACAGGTGAATGTTTCAAGTTATTTAACTTTCATTCGAAGGTTTTTTGTTATGCACTTAAATTGAAGACAGACTGGTACCGCATGATAATACCATAACCATATCTTCAAATTGTTGCCGTTCATTACGTCATGCGATTGCACTGAGCTATTTGAAGATTTAAGAAAGAAGTGATAGTGCCACTTCCAAGACAAAGTTTTGTTCGCCAGGGAAATTGGTAACACTCATAACAATTGAATGCACCTCGGATTCTGATATTATCCCACAATTTTTAATTAATAATTACTATTCCTGACTTCATTCTCCAGCGCAACATTTGCCCACAATACTTATCCACAATGCACTACATAATGCATTGTAGTTGTGTCATTAAGTAAGGTCACCGCTAGACAGTGTCCAGGCCACGCCCTCCCGTTCTCATTCATCAGATCGTATTGTTCTCAAATTATGTGTGTTATTGTCCATTTTTTGTCCATTTTTTATTAAATACTTTTCAAATTTCACAGAGTACAGCAATAAATTATTTTAAAATAGAACCGTTCGAAAATATTTCCCCAGCTGTAAAATATGATGGGCACCCAAACACGGTAAACACATTGTAAACTATGTTAGCAGGAATCTGAAGATGTGGAAACAAATTCTTTCAATATTTATTACTAATAACTATTGAAAGAGTGTTTTAATAATAGTATTAGTCACGAATGTACGCGAATTTTATGCTTTTTGGATTTATAAAGACTGTATGAATTGTAAGTTAAAGAAGACATAATGTTGACTGGTGAATGATTAGATATTTGTAATGACGTTAGTCTTATACGCATATACGTGACTTATTTCTTCTTAATGAATGTGTAAAGCTTGTGAGTTGTAAGTTGGGAGACAAGCAATGAAAACCAGTATTTGACTAAAAAATCGCATAAAACAAATCTTCAGAAAGCAAATAAAAACTCTTAAAAATAAGCCCCACCGAACCTCGATTAACAAGTAAATTTAAATTAAATTCAAAGAAAGCAAAATACGTATGTTTTAAACCTCAATATCTAAACAAATGATATTTAGGAAGCTAAAGTACATCCGCACTCGTAATTCAAATTGCAATCTATGGAAATGGGACCCTAATTACTATGGTTCACGACGTCCTGCCCCAGTGGGCCAGTGCTCTTATACATTGTTCCAAACCTAACCCCACACCTATCCCCAACCATTATAATCCTAACCCAAATGGGGCACAAGGCTCTGGGATACAATGTTAGAGCGTCCCGGGGCAGAACGACGGCAACCCTTATTACACTTGACCGTCGCAGGAAAATTTGGGATATAATTAAATTAATTAAAATCGCCGATTAGGCATTTAAACACTAAGCTGTCAAATTAAATAGACTCGCTATAACTTTTCAAACCGTATTTTAATCTTGCTTCCCGGGTGCATGGTAACTGCCAGTCTAGGATATGGGATGGTTTTATCGGGTAGTGATAGTGTGTATCTCTTCAAAATGTGGAATATTACAAGCTTTATCTCCATCTGAAAGTAGACAATATGGTAATTGGACTATAGTAGTATGATCAGTCATGATAATTCATAATAGTCATAGAGATGTTCACGTGAGAATAATAAAAACCAAATGTCTAGACGACTAAGGACAACAGTCAATTCTAACACAATTTCCTCCATTGTATTAATAATCCAGTCAATTAACCACATAATAGAGTCACTTCCTGTCTGATACCTCTGAAACCTTGCCCATACTACCAAGGTCAGTGGTGTGTGCGAAGTTTTAGAAGTATCAGACAATATACTAGAAGATGTGCTTCAATTATTAGACCAGCGGGCTAAATCTGGTCAAGTCGAACAGTGCTCATTTTCCCAAATAGGAGGCTTAAAAAATAGAAATACCACGGTAAGGGTAGTACCGGTTTCCATCACAAATCCAAAGTGTTTTAAATCCTTAGAATATAGATTTCTCACCAGTGCAAAGTTCTTTCCACTACATTCGTGAGGGCCAGCCATGAACGGGAAGTAATCGCACTTAGGAATGTCCCTGATAAGATCGTCGTTACTTCATACTTGTTATTAATAACGTAGAATTAATAATGCACTGAAATATTCCTACGATTTTGAGAGTTATAAATAATTGAATTCATGTCATCTCAGAACTTCCACAATTGATAAAATCCATAATTTATTTTGATATTAATTTTACGTCTAACTAAGCAGTCTGATCAAATTTCCAATTCCATAATTTGAGAAGTGAACCTACTTCAAGTTTAGGTTAATGAAGCGTTGGGGAATGAAACTGGTAGCCTTGTCCCAAATCTTCGGGTTCCGGCCAGCCGTGTAAGGCGACAACCACATCGTACTTCCTGTGAGAGAGAATGACACTGAGTATAAAGATGTTTATCTGTTTATTTAAGGTTATGCAACAGTGAATCCTGATAAACTTCTTGTAATTTACCTATAAACTAAAAAATACTGCAAAAATAATAACCCCAGCATGGGACCCTTACCACTTACCTTTTGGGACAGTATATCCGCAGATCTCGTGGTCTTTGTGAAGGGTCCTCATGGTTAACGGAGCGCTAGGGTACAAGCGTAACGTTTCTTTAATCACAGCGTCAAGTCTGGGCAGCTGGTTTATCTCGGTCCAGGTTGCTGTGCTGCTAATTTCGGAGATCTCCTCCCTTAGCCTGAGTTAATTAAGATACATTATAGTATGCTGCGCTTTTTGTGTTCTTCGGAACATAAATACACATGCTTTAAGCATATTATGCTCGGCTTAGGGATAATTTGAGCTTTTATACTCTTGATATGGATAACAAAAAATCTTATATTGGTTGTTCTACAATTGCTCACTCACAGTCACGGATGACTATCATCCGATCACCGCTTTTAATTGTATGGTTTCACTATGGTGACTATGGTCTTTTTAGAGATTTTCTAGGGAAACAGTCTAAAAATTGATTTAAAAAGATGAGTCGGCTTAATTGAACAAATTAAATATTTTATGGCAGATCGAAATAAATTGTATAGAATTCATAATTCGTTATTACTAAACTATCAACTTAATTCTTCATTGTAATCAGTAATCCATTTACCATCGATTAACGTCTCTATAGTGAGCGATGCAGGATATCGCGTAGAAAAGGGCGTTGGACGTGGTATCTTGTCCTGTTGATTGAAACCAAATAAATATCAGTATTCCATTCAACATTATCTTTAAGGGTAATTGGCTAAAGTGCCGACCTTTCAATCCAGTGTTAGAGTCTAGACTGAATAATGAATATATAATAACTGGTCTACAAATATATGGCGACATATTCATTTTATTTCTATGGAAAATGAAATTCAATGAACTATTGGCTGCAAATCTATCATAAAACCTAGCAAATCTAGAACAATCTTACCTGCAAATAGGATGGAGTTGATGTCATCGATTACGTCTTCAATATTGTCGAAAGCCTCTAAGAATTTATCAGTAAGTGGTGACCCTTTCTCAATTATTCCCCTCGCTGTTCTTCTCACTTTAAGAATGTTCTTGCAGGTTTGCCTTTTTACTGCTAATTTTCTGAACGGGAGCTGCAAAAGAAGCTATTTTTAAATTTTAAAAACATTCCTACTGTCAGTTTCAATTTATAGGATACACTATGACCCTGATTAAATATCCAGCGATTCATATATGAGCATTAGAGAGCTCGCAAAGGTTCTCTTGATCAAGTTCAGAGGATAATTGCTAATTTGTAAAGCTGTTCCCTAGTTTTTACACACTTACTCTTCGGGTAGGATCAGCTAAGACAGAGTAGCTTTCTTTTGCTATCTGTGCGTACATTTTAGCAATATCAGAACAGCCTGTCTCTACTTCTGCTGAACACCCGAAATCTTTGTTGAACAGGCACTGAAAAATATCAAAACTTCTTGAGTTTATTCCACCTGTTGAAGCTTGCTAACTTTTCAATACGAGTGACCTAATTTAATCCTCCGAATTTTACTCGTACCGTGAAATTTTGAAAAGCAAATTAAGCTGACCAATCCGACTTACTTCACCCATGATATCAGAAGTGATCGCTTGGAACAGTTCCAAAATGTTATCTACATCAAACTCAGTGCTCTCCTTCAAATCACGTTCCTCTTTCGCACCAGAGGTGGTGTCACATGTTCCAAGAGTCCCTCTGGAAGCGTTAGATAGCGACCTGTCTATTATTCGAAGTATTGTTCCCTCGTTTTCTACTATGTGTCTGAAATAAATTTAAATTTAATAAAATCTTTTAGTGAATGTGATCGAGCGATGCCTAATTTTGCGAGTGGGTAATATCAACAATTAATAAAATCCGTTCGTTTGCTATAGCAAAAAAAATCTAAGGAAATTATAACAGACCTGGGGTTCAAGAATTGTCTTAGAATTTTCTTCTTGATCTTCCAATCTTCATTGTACGGTGTCAGTAACATTCCCTTATTTCCTATCATCCTGAAATGTAAATATTAAAGCTATGTATGAACCTGATTCGTCACCCTTTTTGTAGTAAGTAATTCTAGCTTATCTGTTGCGGCAAAATGTGAATAAGCTAATAATTCAAAGTTTGTAATCCTCACCTTAAGCCTTGATAGAACTTAAGAGCGTTTTGAAAGACGTATCTGGTGTTATCAACATCGTGTAATACTTTCTGAAATGGGAGGGCTGGTTAAGAAAATTTCAGATTGTGTCCGAAGTTCAAGAAGAGAATGTATGCAGCGTATGGGAATTGCAGGAGGTTAAAGTTAAATTTCGTAAAAGTTTCGTGATGTCGAACTAAAATAAATGTAGCATCACACCTACAACCTACCTTGATAGGATCAGCCCCAAATACAATAGGTATCACATGTTTATGGTAAAGACGGTAGTGGAAAAGAGGACCGTACTTTTTAGCCCACTCCATCCACACGTCCATTAACATTGTGTTGGATCCTCGTGCGGAGAGCCTGTTCAAGTAGGCACCCTGTCCCGATATTAGTCTGGTGGGGGATATGGAATTTTGTTGAGTTCCTGTTGATAGAAGCCAGTGCTAAAGAAATGTGCGCTACGGTGTTATCGCTAACTTGTAAATACAATGTCCTGTTAATAGAGGTCTAGCAACGTGTGGTGATGTGAACGCACGTTATTAATAGAACTTTTAGTTAATTGTGTTGATCATATACAAACTCCGACATGAAAAATGTATATACAAAGCAGAAAAGTTCAATAAAATGGGATGATGAACCAAAATAACTTGAAGTTTATTTTGTTACCTGGGAGCTTGAGGTCCGGGGAGATGAGCAAGTTTACGGCCCATTATTAGGACGGGAATAACAACCCGCAGTAATGCTCCCATGAGGCACACTGTCGATATTACTGTCAGCACACACCAGGACCCTGGGAATATGTGAGATTGTAAGTACCAAACCCGCACACACACGTCACACACCCCGCTTTTGTGTAAGTACCAAAACTGCATCTATACAAATAGCTTTTGTTTGTGACATAATCTAAATGTGAGACTATTTGCATTGCAGCCTTGTCTTTTGGAGCACCAACAACTAGACAGGGTGGTATTGCGTTGGACATGTTCTTAACATCAGGCTAGCAGTAGCTTGAGCTCACGTTTGCTATTTAGTAAATGCAAAAGTCGAAAGTAAAACTATTGAGTCGTTTGAGTTATTTATCCAAATCTATGCCCGATAAAAACCACATTCAAGCAAGGCATTCTTTCATAAGATAATCAACAATAAGGTTATTTATAAATTATAACCTTTATAAACTCACCGAAATAAACGCACCTTTATAAACGCACCTTTATAAACGCACCTTTATAAACACACCTTTATAAACGCACCGAAAGCGAAACTAACATAAGATAGTAAAGTATAAACAATATTAAAACTAACCTAAAAGGTTGCCTGCGAGAAACACGAGTATACATGTTATCATGAAGGATGCGATCTGCTTACGTCTTTCAGCACAATATCAACAGTGTTGACCGAGCTGCTGGGACTGCTCCCTGACTTTATCAGCTGCTTATCAGGTTTATAATTAGATATTTTAAATTTGGTTGGAAAAATCGGAACTAAAGTTGTGAGTCGAGCACAGCTCCAGGATATGAACTACTAAATTGCTTTACTGGGGAATACCATGGCGGGTTTATTAAATACTGGGAAAATTACGGCGGAATTAATTTATCCCGCCACAATAATTCCATTTAAGGTAAATACACTAAGGACTAAAATATAAGCCTTCACTAATATAGTACACTATGATACAGGGGTAGCGCTTGTAACTACATCGATAAGAATTGGGACAGTTCCAAAGCACTCAAACACTTAAGTGGGTTCTTTTTATAGATATCTGGGGTACTTATGCCATGGCTGACTTTCAAGGTAAAAGAGTTGTAAATATTTCGTTTAATTGCAGACGAAATAATATTGATGCGATTAGAATATTTTGCGACTCGTTGTAGTCAACCTTAAATACCTGTAAGTTGAATATTGCAATCGAATATAATGAAAAATCAGCTAACAACAAACATTGAACCAGACTATCCCAAACTGTATATTTAGCATCTGACTAACTTATTTTAGGTTTATAAATTTCATGTTCGGAGTTGCACAGTTGTTTGGAGATAAAAGTTGCAATGCAATTTTAAGGGTTACTGTCAGTCCTATGAAAATAAAGTCGTCGAAATAGTACATATGAGTTTAGTTTTTAAGATACCCCAGACTAAGCCCAAGACTGAAGAAAACCCAATGTCTGATAACTGAGTTGATACTTTCAGCGTATCAGCGTAAATAGGGCATTTTGACGACTACCGCCCAGCACCTCCCCTAATATTGACGACATACGATTTCCCAATCCTAGTCACTTTCTACTGGGTAATGTTTATCACGTGCTACAACGCTAGGGCTGTGATAGGTCCGTGTGGACTCTTTTGTGGAGGCATAGCTTTGTCAACACGGACAATGGTCCTGCAAGTTAATCAAACTACTAATGGATTAGGTGAATCTGCTAGTGCTTATTCTGACCCGCTCGAACTTTCCCTATTTGATAACTGGGGGACTGCTTCATCAATGATATTGATCCCCGGTTATGTATCTGATTGCTGACGAGCTGATGACACTGACACCCTTCCTCTCTTATACCTCCTCAGTCTGTGAGCCCGACTATTGCAACATCCACATTCCACAATAAAGTATAAACACTCACCATTTATTTCTTACCTCCAAACTGATTTATGATAATTTAATGATTTATAATATTTAAATCAGGAAGATCGCCTCAGTTCAATGAATTCAGTGAGGGGAGTTTGTTAGTTTGGGTTATGATCTCCAATAATTGGATGTGACCATACCACATAATATGGTAATGGCAAGAAAGTATGGTTAACATAGTAAATGTTTCCAGGAAACGTTAGGTTGCATCAGATGTTGCGAATCAATGATTCCAGGTTACAATGTAGAGACATTCGATCTCTATGATAAGTTCGACCACCTTCACGCATCACGTCTTAGTTTCAATCCATATGATCGCTCGCACGTAATAAATTCCATCGGCAATAGTTTAGATCAGAATAGTGACATGAACAACGAATACTGGAATGAAATAAGCGAAATCTTAACCAAGTGCAAATATCAAGAACCTAAAAACGTCACAAACTCCGCCAAAGACGAGTTGAAAGTTTTTTCATTAAATATACGATCACTAGCAAAAAACATAACATATCTTAGAGAAGAAATCCACACCTTCTCAAAATGTGATGTGTTATGCTTTAATGAAACTAACTGTAACATTGATAAGCTGCCTAATGGTATTGATGATATCACAATCGAGGGTTTTCACGAACCTGTTATACAAGCACCTTTACGAAAATCGGGGAGAGGAGGTGGGTTAGCAATCTATATAAACAAACGTGTGTGCGATTTTGATAAAATTGAACGTCTTGACTTAGCTCTGGATCCTGAAGACATGAGTGGCGAGTTCCAACTAGTCAAAATTCATAATTGCAAAGGTTTTAACAAAACCAAGGTTATAGTAAATTTATACAGATCACCGTCAAGAGATACAAATAAGTTCATTAGCTTACTCGATCACGTACTTAATAGACTAGATAGACACTCACGCAAACACGTTATGTTTCATGGCGATGCAAATATTGATCTTATTAAATATGAGACTGATTCCTCAAGCCAGAACCTCATTGACACACTGGCAAAATATGGTTTTGTTCAAACTGTTTCAAAACCAACACGAGTCACTGACCACAGTGCCACCCTTATTGACCATGTGTACACAAATAATATTGAAAACACATTAAGTAGTAACGTGTTAACACTCGACATCTCCGATCATCTTGCAACGTTGACCACTATAAAGTTACGTGCAGTATCACAAAAGCACACCACACACTCAAATAGGACCGATACCACAAAATACCGTGAAACACGTACTATGAATGAAGCCAGCAATGCTATGTTCAAGGAGCTATTGGAAGGGGAGACGTGGGAGGAAGCGCGGGAATCAGGCAGTGCGAGTGAACAGTATGACAAGTTCTCAGAAATCTACATGAAACATTACAACACTGCATACCCCGTTAAGAGTAATCGTAATCGTCGTGAAAATGAACGGTCTGATCCGAAGCCGTGGATACTTCCATGGCTCGAAACAGCTTGTGCACGTAAACAGCAATTATACCATCTTAATATCACAGAGCCTACTGATGAAAACATAGCTGCATACGATAAAATGAAACTATTTTGCAGTAAACACGTTAACATTGCCAAGGAGCGGTATTACAAAAAACAATTTGAAAAATATCAGGACTGTTCCAAAAAACAATGGGAGATAATCAACGGCCTGCTAAACAGAAAAAGACGGGGATCTGATCAAATCAGATTGAGGGATACTGACGGGACGATCTTGAGTACTAACTCGGCAGTCGCTGAAAAGTTCAATGGCTACTTTTCCAGCATCGCAGCCAACATCAAGTCTCAGATCAGTTCCAGACAGACCTTCGATCCTGGGGGGTTCCAGGAGTATCTGACCGGGTCATGTCCAACGTCTATCTACCTCGAACCTACTGGGCCCACCGAGATTCATAGAATTATTATTGGCCTAAAAAATAAGGCAACTCTCGATCCAAAGATTGAGCCCCTGAAAATAGCCAGCACATGCCAAAATTTTTTATGCGCCTTAGCAAAAGTAGTTAACACATCTTTTGTAGAGGGAGCTTTCCCTAAAGCTTTGAAAACGGCAAAAGTTACACCTATACACAAAGGAGGTTGTAAACTCGACGTAGCGAATTATAGACCTATTTCGCTTCTGGGCTCGTTCTCAAAAATTTATGAAAAACTAATGCACAGACGCGTTTTAGAATTTCTCGACAAGAATAACTCTCTATTCGAGAATCAGTACGGATTCCGACCAGGAAGATCATGTGAGCACGCACTTCTCAATGCTCAGAGCTCTACTCTGCATTCTCTAAATAAGAACCAAATAGCAATTTTATTACTTTTAGACTATAGCAAGGCATTTGACGTCCTAGATCACGCGACATTACTCAGGAAACTTGAGCATTACGGTATTACGGTATTCGTGGCATTGCGTTGAAATGGTTCGAGTCATACCTCAGTGGTCGCAGTCAATTTGTTTCCCTAAACGGCTCCAATTCATCATTAGAATCTATGATATACGGTGTTCCACAAGGGAGCATATTAGGCCCCCTGCTCTTTGTCATATATATCGATGACTTACCAGGAATCAGTAACCTAGCTAAATTTATATTATATTTATACGCAGACGACGCAAACATTATTATCACCGGACGCGGATCAAATGTACAAGACATTATATCCAAAGTAAACCACCTCACTGACGTGTTGATAAAATGGGTTAACTCGAACGGCCTAGCTCTTAATCTGAAGAAGACTTGCTATATGGTATTTTCAAAAAGACGGGTAGATCTATCGTCTCTACAAGTAAGTATCGACAACTCTCCTATAGAACGCAAAACGGAGGCCAGGTTTTTAGGAGTTATCGTCAACAACAAACTAAAATGGGCCAGCCACATCCGAGCCGTCAAAACAAAAATGTCACGGTTTATAGGTATTATGTTCAAAATAAAACGCAAATTACCAATCAAAGCACGCTTACAGATCTTCCAAAGTTTTGTACAATCTCACTTAAATTTCTGTTCACTAGTTTGGGGCTTTGCTGCAAAATCCCATATTGAATCACTGTTCACTAAACAAAAGCAGGGAATACGAGCAGTTATGCCGGGCTACGTGAATTACTATTACAAGGACGGTAAGCTTCCGGATCATACTAAAACTACGTTTAAAGAGTACGAAATATTATCTGTACACGGGGTCATCATAAAAAATGCTCTGACTCTGATGCACAAGATAACTTACATGCCTGGTCTTCTGCCGTCGTCGATAAAAGACTTATTTCCTCCCGATATACCAAAGTATGGCACGTCTTATGACGACAATATCGACTGGCTAACAACGTACTCTCAACCAGATCTACGCGCTAGTGTTCTGTATAAAGGTCCTATATTAGCTATTACCGAGCACAACATTAGTCGCATAACTTGCCCATCTAGCATTTTCTCAATAAGCATATATAAGAAATCAGCGAAGCGTGTAATGATAGAACTACAAAGCTCAGGAAACGATGAAGAATGGCCACCTTTTCTGTTACATAATTTACCCGGGCTACGTAAATCGACAAGATCAGGCACACAACAAATCAACTACCGAGAATAAACTAAGGAATAAATAAAACCAGACGGTTAGCACACTAGTCACTATCAACCATATGCCACTTTTTTCACTGCCCATTCACTGTCATATTAATAGCATCATATATATAGCGCTAGCAGGTGCTGATAAGACATGGGCTCAGTTATTCTTTTTTGTTTTAACCTCAAGTAGCTTATAAAACAGTGCGTGTGATCATCTGTCGTATCAAATCAAATTATTTATCACTATATGTTAATAAATCATGATATACAAGTTTTAATTT